GGGATGGGTGTGTCAGAGGCAATGAGATTGGCACAGGATAGAGCAGGGTTTAGGGCTGTTGTACATAGGGGTCGCTATGAGTCGCAAACGACTCGACGGCACATAACAACAACAACAACGACATATAGTTGTCGTTAAGTGCCGTCGAATCGTAGGACTCATAGCGACCCTATGAACAAAAGGCCTGAGCACTGTTCATAGAATTTCCGGAGGCAAGCCATTTCGGAAGTGGATGCCACTCTTACTTCCAAGCTTGTTTTAATAGGGGAGCTCCACCAAACACTGTCCACCATGGGTAATCATTATCATATTTGACACATCACTGTCACAGTGTTCAGCATCACAGCAACCACGAGTTACCTCTGTACAGCAATGCACAGACCAGTGCTATACCACTTAGAAGAATGTTTGACAAAAAAACAATTTAAACCAGGCCTGATTATAGTGCACCATCGAGTTGCAACTGACCAATAGCTGACCCTCCAGCGGTTTTTCAGAGGCAGTTAATAGCAGGAGAAGGGATTATGCGGAGCAGATTGTGGAATCCCACGTCTTTGGGATTGCAGTGCAGCTTCTTGACAGTAGGTCACCAGAGCTCCCTATGTGTGTGTGTCACACACACACACACACACACACACACACACACACACACATAAATACACGTGTATATATACAAATATGTATGTGTGTATATGTACATGTATATGGGGAGCTCTGGTGGCCTAGTGGTAAGAAACTTGCCTTGCAATCCCGAATGTACACTCTTCGAGGCTAGGGTCAGCTACGGGTTGGTTCCACCTCTAGGCACACAACAACATATATGTATATATGACGTGTGCATGTGTGTGCATGCAAGTGTATGGAGTCACAGGCCTTTCTGAATGAGTGACAGTGGGAGTCCAACCTTTCGGGAGAGGAGGGCCAAACGACCAATAGGACGGCTGGGGGTGGATGGGTTCCAGTCTCCGCAGAGGTCGAGGTGGGATCCTTGGCGCTCCCCCTGCCCACACACCTCCTTCCAGGCCCTTGCCCTGGGTCCCCTCGGTGTTCCTCTCCTAGGCGGCGCAGACCCGGGCCGAGGCCGGGGTGGGGCGCCCGGACGCGCGGCTGGGGGGCGCTGCTGCGATGCCCACGCCGCAGGGCTGTGGCGAACACCCTGCCGTGAGGTGGGCCGCCGCCGCGGGGCGTCGGTATGTAAAGCAGCTGGCTGCGCGGGGCGGGGCCCAGGGGGCGATGCAAATGAGGGAGGCGGGGTCGCGCAGGGGCTCCGCCTCCCTCCTCCGCAGCTGGGGCCAGCGGTGCCGAGCGCAGCTGGACGAGCGGCGGCAGCTGGGCGAGTGACAGCCCCAGCTCCGCGCGCCGCGGCCGCCAGATCAGGCGCCGGCGAAGCGC